TTAATAGGCATTATAGGCCAGAGGAAATTTTGTGCCCCTTCACACTTGCGCCCGGGGGCGACTGCCCCTTGCCCCCTCTTGCTACGCCACTGATGGGTTGATACGTGCTACCTGATGTTTTTTTGTTGTTTTTAAGTCAATAGAGCTCGTGTGCACTTTGAATTTCGTTTGATTGTCGAGTCAACACAAATGAATCGCACATTTCTGACTTGTAATCTATTTAAGAAAGAAAAGCAATAGTCTTATCGTATATAAAGATATACTCACAGAGTTTTAATACTTGATAGCCCCTCAAAATTCTTCGGTCTGATCTCTCGTAGTTTGTTATGGTCTAAAGAACTATTGGGGAAATATAAAACAAATCAAAATACTAAATTACTCAAAATCACAAAGAGGATTTATCTATAAACCCAAGATGGAGGTCTGTAATTAGACACTTATTTCCATGCATTCAGCTCGTCATGTTGATCTTACTGTGCTTTTTCAAGGTCGACATTTTTAACAGACTTTGATAAAGTCTTGCACAGTGATATTTCTAATTTAACATTTCAACTGATGATATTTTAACAAATTTGTCTCATTTTATAAAAAAACAAATTCCAATATTTAGCCTTCATTCTCATCACAAAATAAAACAGTTTAAAAATATCTTGAGTCAAGAACTGAAAATAACCGTCGGTGACGAGTGTGTTAATAAAAAACAATACAAAAAATACAACAAACTCTTAAGGCTGTTCCTTCGTACAAGAAAATTCTCATAACAATAGAGACGTAATCTGTGTAAAACAAAACAAAAATGTTACAAACGCACGAGAAGAGAACCTGATTCTATACATAACAAAAACCATTCGAAGGAGAACTACCAACCTAGCGGGTTGTACGTGATTCCGCCCTGACCTGTGTATTAACACAAGGCTGCAGGAAGGTAAAGTTTTCGCGAATTAAAATAATATTACGCCCTCTACAGGCCTTGAAAGTTCCACCCAAATGTTAACAGAATAAACAGTGATACACAATTTAGTAAAAGTGACTACTGTATCGATGTATTTAGAAGAATTTCTTAGGTTTTACGCGTGTTTTAGTAAAAACATTAGTCCAATTAGGTACCTTCAGGAAACGACAGTGAGTTTCATATATAGTGAATAAAAAGAGAAATACTTTTTTTCAAGCAGTAACAGCAGATTCATGCATCTTTATTTAAAACCATACAATCTCACAATACAAATTACACTATATAATGTAAGTTTACTATATGAAGTAAAGAAGCGAAAGCTTACAGTATAGAGCAGTGGTTCCCGACCGCTGGTCCACAGGGAGGTTTCAGCCGGTCCGTAAGACAGTTGAAAAACAATGTGTGTTTTAAAATATACCTACTGAAGCGTATTGTTTTACAGTCTAATTTAAAAATACTTTAAAAAGTTAATATTGCACGAATCAGTCCGTGAAATTTTGGGATCGGAACTATGTGGTTGTCATTTGGAGAAAGATTGGGAACCACTGACATAGAATATATTACTGTAAGCTAATAATACTAACATATTATTGAATATTTACAATAATGAATACATTATTGGAAGCTTATAATATAAAGAACATTACCAGTAGCTTACAAAGAAAAGTTATGTTATGGAGTACATTACTGAAAGCTTTCGACATTTAGTAAACAATAAATCATACATCAATGGAAGATTACAAACCTGAGAATATTAATAGAAGCGTACACGTTAGAATACACGACATAAACGTACAATATGGAGTACGCTAGGTAGGGCTTATCAATCAGAAACCTTTAATGAAAGCTTACAATATGAGTACACAATAAGAGTTGCACGAATAGGACCTTATATATTGAGTACACGAATGAAAGCTAACAGTGTGGAGTACACGAACAAAACTTGGCATTATGGGGTTAACAAATGGGAGATGAGCAAGGATGTGCAAATAGAAGTGTATATAAGGAGTGTGAAAATAGAAATTTACACCATGGAATACGCAAATAGAAGATTGCAATATGGAGTACGAAAACAGAAGCTTATAACGTGGAATATACGAATGGAAACTTAAAGTAATCTGTGTGGTCGAAAAAATTTCACTATTTTTAAATTAAAAGATAGATTCGAAACTCAACCCTGAACATATTTCTTTTCATTATTCAAATACCTAAAAGTAGATGTAATTCGGACATTTCAAAATAGAATTAAATTATTTAAAGTTACTTAACAAATCGTATTTAAACAAAAGAGGGTTGTGGTAGTGTTAGCTCTAAGAAGCAACAGCTAAGCATTGCTAATCCATTTGATTAAAAATAACGAAAAACAAAATGTTCTCTTTATATATACTATATCTTCTTATCTCTAAACTTATGAAGCAAAATGAAATACTCACAGGTCCATCAAGTTCGAGGCCCCTTGAAAAGCACCATCTTCTATATCGTTTATTTCATTGTTTTCTAAGTTTCTAATAATTAAAAACAACATGCAAATTACAACATGTTTAGTAAGTATAAATACGTAATGAATCACTGGTCGTTTTTATATGATTATTTCATCAATCCATGATTATACCATTTAATTAAAACAACAATAACAAATATTACTGAAAGATAGTAACAAAAACATTACAGCGGGTTTTCAGCTACGTTGCAGTAATTGAAGTTAAAACAATGTTGATATCATTACACTTAGGACTTCATTCACTGTAATTTTGGTGAATAGAGTTGTCACCTTACAATGCCTATCTCGGTTACATTCAGGACTTCATTTATTGGAACTTTGGTCAATAGAGGCGTCACTTTGCAAGGTTGTTATCATTACATTTAGGAATTCATTCACTTGAACTTTGGTGAACAGAGGCGTAATCTGGCATTAATTTGCATCCTTTTCCAATTTATGTTAGCATTTTCAGACATAAGAATCGACAGTCGACTTTTTTGTATTTCCAAAGAATTTTTGTGCTTGTTCGTTTCATATCTCCAATGTTATTTGCAGTGTATATAGACTTAAATCTTAGTTGTACCCGTGTGTCGTGAAGTATTTCTGATGTTTTTATAACGTATCAAAAATGTATGTTTCGTAGTTGCCGATGATGATGCAACAAAGGTAAAGTTATTGGTTTTTTTTACTTTGTCTTTTACTACTCGTATGATGAGATGTTTAGAGTAGTTGCTACTTTAAAGAGGTTTTTGAAATCAATAATTTGTTTTTCTCTTGTTATTAAGACGTTATATTTGTGTTATTATATATCCAAAGCTTCTGTCTGTTCTAAGTTTTGTGACAGAGAAGTGGTTTGGTATAAAATTTAGTAATGTTCTTAACCTTACATTTAGGGCCTTATTTATTGGAACCTTAGTCCAAACTCTCTGATGTGTCTGTTTCAACATTATGTTCACCTACAAGAGTCATCTTAAAATCATATATGAATTTTTGAAACGTGATTCATTGTTGCCTAGTAATAGTGTAAGTCTAGGATTAAGATGTTTAGTTAAGAGATAGGTCAGTGAATATATGAAATTCGCAGGAAGACCACAGGGAACGTCATCTGTAGGAATGTTAAGAAAATCGTATAGCTGCAGACAAATATTACAAAACTGTCTTAAACAGAGACATTTTTCATTCAGTTACTGTTAAGTTATTAATATTAGATTAGTCTTTATCTGATTCCTAAGTAGAACTGGTTGATAATGGATAATCTTTATATGATGTCATTGTATCGTTTGTTAAATACTCACTTCATTTTAAGATTCTAAAAACATCTAGATCCAGAAAAAAAGAACTGACAAAACCCTAGCGCTTTCAGAAGACTGTCACAAAAACGCGCTCCGCCATTTGGGTAACAGTCAAATTCCACTACTTGGTCCAATAAGAGTAGCCCAAGAGTTTGTATTGAGTTCTGTTGATAGTTGCCTTCCCTTTAGTCTTATCAGCTCAAAATTAGGAACGGTTATGTGCAAGCTGTGTAGCTTTGTGTAAAGTACTGAAACAAACAAACAAATTGACAAGAGTACTTGTCGTTAACATGGATAAAATATCGATGAAGATAACACACAGAGTGAGTTTTGACGTGACATCTCTATTCATCAAAATTCCAGTGAATGAAGTCCTAAATGTAATGATAACAACCTTGCAAAGTTACGCCTCTGTTCACCAAAGTTCAAATGAATGAATTCCTAAATGTAATGATAACAACCTTGCAAAGGAAACTAGATCAATCTCATACCAACACATATCTATAAGTTCCAGTGCTGCAGTTCTAATGAATTTTTGTGCCTTTGATTTGTTTAAATGTGATCCTGGGAGCCGATGTCCACCCATATTGGAGGGTCTGTGGAAAACTTGTCAGAATGTATGGTCAAAGATTGTCCTTGCCGTCCTTCACAGAAACTCGTTACAATCACAGCAATCGTAATGAGAACAATCAAAGATGGACGAAATTGCTCCAATGGAACATCATTGCATCAAATCAGAGTAGATGGATGTTGTGGTTATCATTCTATTATTTTCAATGTACGGATAACTCTTCTATTGCTTATCAGCATTGCTTCTTTATAACGAAATTTAAGTAACAACTTCAAAAGTCTAACATTTTAACATGGTATCAAATAATCCAGCTACTCGCAACTCGTTGTTGCCAAACATGAAATGGACGAGAACTTAATATAAAGAACTATAAAATAAACCTTTACAATGGCGTCATTTGTAGTATTTGTCTACAAAACATCTTATTTCTTTTATAATTTAAATAGGTAGGCATCAGTCTTATATATCTCTTCGTCTTTTTGTCACTCAGCATATAACCGGCTATCTGTCCAATTCTCGAGCTAATTATTATGTTTGAATCGGATATAGATTCGTGTGTTTTTATGATTATATATTTGTATTATACACTGAACCAAACCAAACAAAAATAATTTCATGTAACTTTTCTGATAACTATCTTTGAGAGACAACTCCAAATCTGTCTTTTAGTTTCTTCTAATAAAACATATATATACAAGAAATAGGAAAATACTTCACACTTCTGTTATTCTTGATGTGGAGGTGAAATACAAATATTATTTCATACCTATAGTAGTCACTTTTGATTTAGTTTTTCATTGTTACGTTTATGCAAGACAGTGATGCCTTATTTCAAGTTGTGATAAAATAGTGAGTCAGGGAAGAGGAGTTAATATAACAAATTGTGATAAAATAGTTCGTCAGGGAAGAGGAGTTAATGTAACAACTTGTGATAAAATAGTGAGTCAATCGAGATAAGTTAATATAACAAGTTGTGATAAAGTAGTGAGTCAGTAAAGAGGAGTTAATGTAACAACTTGTGATAAAATAGTGAGTCAATCGAAATAAGTTAATATAACAAGTTGTGACAAAATAGTGAGTCAGTAAAGAGGAGTTAATATAACAACTTGTGATAAAATAGTGAGTCATTGAAGATGATTTGATATAACAACTTGTGATAAAATAGTGAGTCAATCAAGATAAGTTAATATAACAAGTTTGATAAAATAGTGAGTCAGTAAAGAGGAGTTAATATAACAACTTGTGATAAAATAGTGAGTCAATGAAGATGAGTTAATATAACAACTTGTGATAAAATAATGAGTCAATCAAGATAAGTTAATATAACAAGTTTTGATAAAATAGTGATTCTGTGAAGATGATCTAATATAACAAGTTTTGATAAAATAGTGATTCTGTGAAGATGATCTAATATAACAAGTTGTGATAAAATAGTGAGTCAATCGAGATAAGTTAATATAACAAGTTGTGATAAAATAGTGAGTCAGTAAGGAGGAGTTAATGTAACAACTTGCGATAAAATAGTGAGTCTGTGAAGATAAGTTAATATAACTAATATAACAAGTTGTGATAAAATAGTTATTCAGTGGTTTAGGAAGTCATATGACATAACAAGTTGTGATAAAATAGTGAGTCAATCGAGATACGTTAATATAACAAGTTGTGATAAAATAGTGAGTCAATCGAGATAAGTTAATATAACAAGTTATGATAAAATAGTGAGTTAATCGAGATAAGTTAATATAACAAGTTGTGATAAAATAGTGAGTCAATCGAGTAAGGTAGTATAACAAGTTGTGATAAAATAGTGAGTCAGTGAAGATGGGCTAATATAACAAGTTGTGATAAAATAGTGAGTCAATGAAGATGAGTTAATATAACAAGTGAACTCTATTTCAGGCGTTTGAACGATAACAGCTTCAAGAAATTCAAGAACACTGGAATCTTCAAAAAATTACCAAATCTTATCAAGTTGTAAGTCTTTGCATCAGATTTTTGAGAGCTTTTCGTTATCAAAAATCTTTATGAAGATTTAAAATAAAGTTTAATACATCAGTGATATTTTTACATCTTATCTTAAACATTTTAAAGTATGTAATAAGTAACAACATTATGTAGTTTTAGATTAAAACCTAAAATACTTATAGCTTATGTGCCAAGTGAATGATTTAGGAAGTCATATGACATAACGTGAGCTGTTTATTACATTTTCGAAATTTGTTATTACGTTTTACTTTGTTATTTTCTTGTTTTAACTGATTGATATTACCGATTTTTGGTTGGGTTTCATTTTATTTGTATATTGACATTATATAAGACATATAACGTGGGTTAATAAATATCGTAAAAATGAAGGCTAGATACATATATATATTCTCCACGTTTAAAAAATTGTAGTGTGCCTTCGCCTATGTTGCAGTAACAGTCATTAGGCTTAGCATACATTTTTACAGTTCGGAACTGAATTATACATTATATAGAATACAAAATTGGTCATACAAGACTTTTTTTTCTTAGTCGAGATAGATATTGTTAAACGCGAAACTTAAAGATTTTCAAGGCATTGTGTCGGAAACCTGGTATTAAAACCAACTCTTTTCTAAATAAATAATGTTAACATAAATCGCATTACAGGTCCTGTAAATAAATGTCTAAAATTGCTGGAAATTACTTGAGTTGAGCAGGAATGGGAATAGCACCATAGGCGGAAAGCTAACAAGGAGTAATCAGTATACGTATTGTTTGTGTTTGAAGAACGAATTGCCTGCTAGTATCACTAGCGTTTCCCTGCCGGTGTGAACCATGGCACTTATGGCGGATTATTTAGAGCCTATATATTTGGTTTATAGAGAAATCCCTATAGTGCAAACCCGTCATACATAGACTTAAGTGTGTTGGAATATATAAATCTAAGGAAAGATATTCGCACAGCGAAACTGATAAATACAAACTTAAGACACAACATTTCAAAGAAGGACTGTTGGTGTTTTTTGTTAGCCAAAAGCTACACAGCTTTACAATGGGTTATCTGCGCTCTCCATCGCGGGGAGTCGAATTCCGGATTTTTAGTTTTCTAAGAAGTGAACATCAGTGTTATAAAAAAAACGGAAAATAACAAGAGGCTCTGAAACAACACCTCCAACCAATCCTGTAATACGCCCTAACCTGTAAGGTGTAGGAAAGATAACTCTCGCACCCAAGGAGCTTAGCATTTCTCCTGGTATCCTTAACAGAATAATAAACAAGGATTTGAAGTTGGCGAAGAAACTCTGCTGTACGGTACAGCAGGGCTTGGTTGAATTGACCAATGATGTGACCACTTTGAACTCCTTTAAAGTCATTATAGTTTGGATACTACTAAACTTGGCAGACTTTCAGTAATCATTACAAGTC